CAGCCTACCCCCGAATGCGCACTGGATTGGCGGGTAGCTGCCGAGTCGACGCCGTTCCGCCGCTCAGGACTCACTTGGGTAAGCTTACACTTCTTCCTTTCCAGGCGGTGTAAGGCATCCCATCCTCGTCGCCAGTGTTGAGTCCTTGGCGGGAAGCAGACACGAGAAGCAGTTGAAGTTCTCAGTTTCCTTTATTCAGCGTTCAGCTTACAAGTAGATGGCTTCAGCAACTCCCAAAACCTCCCAGCTTCTTATATAGACGCTTCCCGGGTAAATGTGATACTTTTCCCGCGCCAGCACCCGCGCATGCGCACGGCGCTGGCGATAGCCTGTCTGGTCCCGGGCAGCTTTGCACCTGCCCGGGACTGCCTGCAAACGCCCGAGCCGTTTGCAAGGCTCGGGACATAACAGGTATATTACTGTAATTACAGAAACAGACTTTCTGGCACAGCCACATTTCCAAATCAGGTGACATCTGGGATCAAGCAGTCCCCCATCTTATTCCTTTGCACCATTGTTTATTTCTCCTTTGTTCAACTTACTGGTAAATCATTCCAAAAGACATAACTCTCACTGTGTGGAAGGTTGCTTCTATCAACTTTTATAACTTTTGCTGCTATCCCAGCACCATTTTAAGATCTTAAATCTGGGCTGAAGTTATGATACTATTAAGAAGGTGTAAAACTTAGGTTCACATCTTGAGTGGAGTTTTGTCTCTTTGTTCCACAGATTGCGGATGGAGTTGTCAGACCAATGTGTCTTGTGTACGCAGCTTCAATCTTTGTCTAAAAGGAATGCAAGCACTATCCTGCATTGAACATAAAAGCATAGCCTAATCCTCTTGGGAAATCAGTATAATCCTAATAAAACCTATTTGTATTGTTCTTGATTTATTGAAAGCCAACAAAAGTCAATAACACTCACACAGGTGGGAAGCTCTGCATGAATATTTTTGCTGGTGATTGGAAAAAAACAACATTTAAATTAATTTCCTATAGTAGTTTGGATATTTCTTCACAGCTCTTGGTACTATTAGACTGAACTTTTGTGTAATTATTTTTATATGAACTTATTGAAGGTTTCTATTTTTAATGAGGTTCATAGGCCTTCCACGTTACTCAAATGTGTTTTCAGATCTCATTTGATTTGGGGCTTCTGTAATTAGATGGTTCTTTTTATTGTCATTGTATCCATACTTTTTAGATAGTATTGAACTGGCCTTGTTGTTCTCTAAGAATCTATCAGGATTGGGGTAGGCAATTAATATTGCCAAATAAATAAATATAAGAGAAGCTGTCACTAAATATTTCACTGGTTCTTCTGTGAAAGATGTCAATGCGTTCCTATGATCCAAGGAACTCAGTGTATTACATTACAGATTCAGTTCAAGGACATCAGAAATGTATTAATGTAAGAAAAAATTAATCTTATTGTATATAATACAGATAGGGAAATTTGGAGAGAGGGGTTGCTCGGACATGGTGTAGGGTTTCCTGCCCGAGCAGGGAGTTGGACTAGATGACCTCCAAGGTCCCTTCCAACTTTACTACTATTACATTACCCCTGAATTGTATCTGAAGAGGGATGAGAGGGAAGAAAGGAGAGGAGAGAGAAAAGAGTAAAGGAGGGGAGAAGGAAGTAGGAAGGTTGGAGGAGGAGAAGTGGGGAGAAAGGGTAGGAGAGTGGTGAAGGAAAGAGAAGAGGAGAGGAAGAAGAGGGAAGTAGGGAAGAAAGAGAAGAAAGGGAGAAAGAAGGTAGAGAAGAAGGATGTGGATACAGTGAAAGGGGAAATGGGCGAGCAACACCAAAAGTCATGTGTACGTATTTATTTCATTTTATTAAAAGTATCTTATATATAAAAATGTAAAAAGAATGTATGTTAACATTTGATAAATATCACGATATATCTATGGGGGAGAGTTTGGGGAAAAAAAGAAATGTCAGTATTATTTGTCTTCATATCAAGTTTCTGTTTAAGAAAAATAAGGGCTTTTATTAAGATTAGCCAAAATATTATTTCAGTTATTAAAAAAACAGATTTTGCCAGTGTGAAAAATGACATCGTAATTTGTCTTGTTAATATGTTTACTTTTCAGATTTTGTGACTTCTTTCAGTTTGTCAAGCAATTTAAAAAGCAGTTTAAGCTTTACATGACAGCTCCTGTCTGAGCTTGCAGCACAGAGGTGACACTAAGAAACTTGTAAAATTTCAGAGGAATATTGGGTGGGTGGGTGAGAGAAAGTTGCTGTCCTTTCTTCCAAGCTGTACATTTTCTTCTTTTTTCTTTTTTTTTTAATCATCTTACTATAGTTATGAAAATGATATTGTTACAGATATATCTGTAGGCATGAATCTATACATTTCAAAGGAATTATGTGGAATTAAAAGCAGATGAAGCCTCCTCTTTTAATCTCTCCTTTGCTGACTTATTACATAAAGTGACATGAGGTGGCACAAGACAAGATAAATTAAAGAAAGATATGAGAAAAAAAAATAAAGGAAGAAATTGAAACTTAAACAGGTAGATTTTTGAAGTGAACAATCATACACTCTCCCTGGTAGCATGATATCTAGATGCATGTTTTTAATATACAAGGGAGAGAAAGCTTATAAATGTCACTGAACTGTAAAAGAATACTTTAACTTCTCTTCCCAAAGCAGTCACTGGAGAGTATATAATTACAACATTATATACTTCCTTTTTGTCCGTAATTCCCAACCTTGGGCCTTTCAAAGATGGCATGTTTGAAGGAGAGAATATCAGTTTTTGAAGGCATATTGGGTGCCCATACAGATGTCTGAGTGGAAGGAAGGAAGGAAGGAAGGAAGGAAGGAAGGAAGGAAGGAAGGAAGGAAGGAAGGAAGGAGAAATATATTTACATAATTCAGCAGTTTTTGCAATTGTTTAGGGAAGGCGGAGAATTGCTCTTACGACATCTGCCACTAGGTTTATGAATTAAATGTGCTGGAGGAAAAAAGTGTTTACTTAAAATTTCTTCCCCTTATTTTGACAGGCTTCATGGTACTTGTACCTGCTGAAAGGAATACTCTAAGCTTCCTATCTTTACTATTCTCTTTTTTGACAGCTCAGTCTACCACTCCTGAGAGCAGGGATACATCATTGGGCCCATAAGAAATGGTAAATTGAAACAGTGACAAGTTGAAACCCTCAGGCAGCTGGAAGAAAAGGAACAGGTATCTGTGGATGATGTTTAAAAGGTTTAACAAGTTCTACCGTTGACACAGATTGCCAAATCCATGATATTTTTGATGACTAGCAATAGGGTTGTCTCACCTGTACCTATTACCTGTGGAATCATCTGAAACAACTACTTTTGCTTCTGCTTTTGCCTGAAAAGAGGAATCATCCATATACTTGACTAAAAATCTTTCTCACCTCTAGCTTAGCCCAAAAGGAAAAATGCAGAAATGGATCTTTCCTTGTACTAAAATACACAACTTTTCTCAAACATATTCGGAGTTTTCCTGCATAAATATAATTCAATTATATTTCAAGTTGCCAGTTTTATTCAAATAAAATACTCACGGCGTTCAAGATTAACTGCATGTTGGAAATATTATCAAAATGTTTTCATTTTGTATGTATATAATTTTTCATTCCCTGGGAAACCTTTTTGCTCTCATGATATTTTTAATACTCAAAAATATAGAAGGATCTCTAATTATGACACGTGTTTTCAGTTATTGGATGAAGTAATAAAAGAGCTTCATTTCTAACTGAAAATATCCATTTTATTAATTTTGGAGGGAAGAGAGAAATATAGACCAATGTGATTATCAAGCACCACACAGCTGGCAAGTTCAGTGAAGCAAGAACTGCATAGATTTCAGTTAGTCATGCTAGCCTGGGGTGGATATAGAATTTTGGACATGGCAAAGACAATAAGCCATTGAAAATGAAACATTTGGAGATCTTTCTGTAGGGAGATGTGTAAAGAAGAAGAATCAGTATTCAAAACCTGTCAGCTCTTCACATTAGACCAAGTCAAGAAGCAGATACCACAAGAAATAGTGGAACTCTATTAATTTAGGGCAAAATAACAGATTCTTGAAAGCCTGCAAGTACTTTGCCTTCCCTCCCTCTTAAATCAAAGAGAATCAATCTTGAGTTTCTTTCTCCCACTGTCTTGTTTTCCCAGACAAAGCTCATGTTGTCTTAATGGTTGCCACGTATTTTCTCCAAGGTCAATTCTGTCCTCCTCTATTAATCCACAACATATGTCATAAAGTAATAAAAAAATTCTTACATAAAGTAAGATCTTACTACTAGCTCATGATGCTTCCTTTTGCCAGAAGGTGTTTATGTAATCCATCTTTAGTACTCAAGTTAGCACATTTTGTTCATTTATGCAACCTGTCCAGAGAACGTTGATTGGTTTTAAAATTTGCTCTGCTATTTTAAGGGCAAAGTGAAATGGAAATTATCTTCAAAAAATAATGTGAGGTGTTTGTGATACAAGAAATGGAAAATAAGCCTAAACTGTGGTCTTGGTGTTCCAGAAGAGTTCTTACTTCTAAACTCTAGATCAGTGGTTCTCAACCTGTGGGTCGGGACCCCATTTGGGGTCAAAGGACCATTTCATGGGGGTTGCCAAACAACGCAGTCCACCATTTTTTCCCCTTTTCCTTAGCTGTGCTACTCCCTTTTATTCTATTGGCTTTTGAAAGCCAATAGAATAGACTCTCTTGAATAGAGTCTAATTCTATTGGCTTTCAAAAGCCAGTAGGAATTGTCCAAGCTGTCTCTGCCCTGCTGAGCCCGCCAAAAGTCCCATTCTGCAAACAGTGTTGCACCAGTTGAGTAGTCCTCGACTTATGACTGGTTGAGTAGTCCTCAACTTACAACCGGTTGGGAATCGCAGCATTAAAAAGGCTGAGAACCACTGCTCTAGATTTATAGCAGTAACAAGCTCAGTGGTTTCACCTTTCTTCCTCCTCTACATCCCGATATCACAGCAAGCAAAGGAACATGACTTACCTCCCAATCAGTAGAAGCTCTCTAAGAACTCCCAAGCGTCTCATAGCCATGAGGATTCCCCTGACAGTCATTCCTTCGCAGAAACAAACCACAACTCTGGCCTTTGGCAACCTGTCCCGGAGCTTCTGTAACAGCTTCTCAAAGTTTTTTTCTCCTGCATTGCTGTAGATCTTATCTGAATGAGCAATACAAAGGCCTTCCTGTGCAGCCAGTTCCTTGAAAGCTTCCATGCCACTTTCTCCATAGTTTCCTAAACAAAAGGGAAAAATAAATGAGAATATTTGTAGCTCAGGTTTGACCTGGGGGTCCTTGGTGCTCTCTGAGCTTGTTTGTTTTCTTGCAGATGTTTCATTACCCAAATTAGGTAACACCATCAGTGCTGGTAAGGAGTACTGTTTGCTGACAGTTTATCTTCTAGTGGCTTGCCTGTCAGTGTTGGTCAGGGTGGTCTTGGAGATCTTTGGTTGGGTTGTTTGCTGTTGGCTTCTTTGGCAGTTTCTTGATTGGGACATTGTTTACTTGATTGTTAATCTGATGTTAACTTTGGAGGTAATCTATGCTGATTTGGCAGCTGATTGCTGGTGGAGAGGTTTTTGGGTCTTTTTGTTCCTTTTTGGCTGATAGTCTCTTTTACATAGTCTATAGATGTTGTTAGTGTCTATGTATCTATTGATGGCTGATTTGTCAGTGTGCCAGACTTCTAGAAATTCCCTGGCATTTTTGGACTTGGTTTGGTCTAGGATGGTCACATTTTCCCAATTGAAACTATGGTTAAATCTGTCTATAAGTTGTGAAATTAAAGAATTTTCATCATGTCTTCTGACTGCTAGTTGATGTTCGTGGATGCGTTTTGCCAGTCTTCTGCCGGTTTGTCCTACATAGTGGTTGTTTCTAGAAGTCTGGCACTCTGACAAATCAACCATCAACAGATACATAGACATTAACAACATCTATAGACTATGCAGAAGAGACTATCACCCAGCCCCAAAATGAACAAAAAGACCCAAGCACCTCTCCACCAGTAATCAGCCCTCAGATCAGCATGGATTAACTCCAAGGTTAACATCAGAACAAAAATCAAGTAAGCAATACTCCAATCAGAAACTGCCAAAGAAGCCAACATCTAACAGCCCAACCAAAGTATCTCTAAGACTACCCCCACCAATACTAACAGGCAAGCCACTAGAACAGTGGTTCTCAACCTTTCTAATGCCGCGACCCCATAATACAGTTCCCCATGTTGTGGTGACCCCCAACCACTTATACATCACCGGGTGCCAGGGGCATGGCCAAAGAAAAGGGGGGAAAATGGCAGACAGCCTTGTTTGGTGACCCCGTGAAATGGTCGTTCGACCCCAAATGGGGTCCTGACCCACAGGTTGAGAACCACTGCACTAGAAGATAAAGTGATAGAAAACTGCACTCCTCACTAGCACTGATAATGTTACCTATTGTAGTTTGTGTAACGAAATGTCTGTAAGAAAACAAGCAAGCTCAGAGAGCAGCAAGGACCTCTCATAAGGGAAAAAGGTTGTCACTATTATTTCCAATGACCAAGGTTGTCTCTGCACCACCCACTGCATAAATCATAGCTGATTAAAACAATTAAATCAACCAGATAATTCACTCCTCTATAGTTTGAGACCTAGGGGAGCAGCACTTTCTAATCCAGGGGTATCAAACTGCCAGTCCACAGGCCGGTTGCATCATGCGGAGGTCACGCCCATCCCAGCTCCGGCAATATGAAAAAAGTCACAATACATCACAACACTTCACATGACATGACGAGTTTGACATCCTTGTTCTAATCTAAATCTTCTTGGCCAGACAGCATCGGCTTCATCTCTTCCATCTCAGAAGGATCACAGAGACTGTATTGCTCAAATTATTTTATTACTATCATAAGAGCAATGACTGGAAAGCAAAGGAGGCAAACAGGAGGAAAAGGATTTTTTTTTTCCCCAGTTAGCATTACTTTATTTTTACTTAGTCTGAGACTCTGGCACTTCCAGTCTACTTGAAAGGAGAGGTTAGCATTCCATTGTTAGCAGACCCTGAAAGCAAGAATTTGGGGAAAAGGACATGAAGGTTAACCAAAAGCAAGATTTTGCTCAGGTCTTGTTAATTCTGTGGAGACAGAAATCAATGGGGCTGCCAGCTATTAGGGCACTAGGAATACACAGTGAAATGCGAACAAAGACTGCCAATATTCCAAGAGGCCCCATTCATCTCTTTCTTTGTAACTGCTGTTGCAACAGAGCATTTTTCAAGGTATTGTTTCACCTGGCTTAAAACTTGCAAGTTTGCTCAGCTGTGCTTTTTAGCTTTGTTTGGCAACCCTTCAGGCACCTTCAGAAGTCTTTGTTTTGGGAAATTGCCTCTCCCTGGTTTCTTTTGGTGTGAAATTAATAAGAGCAAAAGCAATTTTTATGCTTTTTGTGGAGCTTTATAGAATGAGTGGTATGGCTTTGAGTCATACTGTTGCTTTTGCATTTTATTTATAAGTGATTTCCTTCCTCTTATGCTCCCAAGACTTGCTGTATACTTGTAGGTAACTTAAGAACACTCAAGAGAAGAAAGTGATACCACATGGAAAGTATTCTCCCCTGAAAGACACAGAAGCTTTGAAATTTATCAGAAAATTTTTTGCACTCCTAGTAGTAATGTTCCTCATGTTTCTGTACATGCTCACAGATTAGGGAAAATACCTATTTCCCTCCTCCCCAATACTTACCTATCCACATTCATTCAAGCATTGTGCTTGCAGCTAATAGATAGATTGAGACAAAGCAACTAGCCCCAATTTTCACCTTGCAAAATTCATAACTGAAGATCTGAACCAGGACAGCAAAATGTAACTGACCCTGGAGCTCAGACTGCCCAACCCATGTCCTCTTTGAGATAGAGCAATAGCAATAGCACTTAGACTTATATACTGCCCCATAGTGCTTTACAGCACTCTCTGGGAGGTTTAAAATGTCAGCATATTGCCCCCACAATCTCATTTTACTGACCTTAGAGCAGTGGTTCTCAACCTGTGGGTTGGGACTCCATTTGGGGTCGAACAACCATTCACGGGGGTTGCCAAACAACACAGTCTGCCATTTTTTTCCCCTTTTCCTTAGCTGTGCTACTCCCTTTTATTCTATTGGCTTTTGAAAGCCAATAGAATAGACTCTCTTGAATAGAGTCTAATTCTATTGGCTTTCAAAAACGAATAGGAATTGTCCAGGCTGTCTCTGCCCTGCTGAGCCTGCCAAAAGTCCCATTCTGCAAACGATGCCGCAAGTTGTCTGCAGCGAAGGCGAGCTGTCTGGAAGTTTCCACCCCTCCCTGCTGAGCAACTACTAAAAATGTAAGTAAAAGAGGGCCAGGACTGGGAGGTGGGAGGCCGGCGGGCTCAGGGAGGGTTGCTGACGTGCGTGGGGCCCGGCGGGTGCCTTACCTCCCTTGGGCTGGGCCAGCTAGTGGCCCAGCCGGTGGTTGGCCTGCGCCGTCTCTGCCGCTTGCCAGCTACGACTTGGCCGGCACAGGGGGTGGCAGCACGCATGCACGGTGCTCCCGGGCAGGGAAAGTCCTCAACTTACACCTGGTTGGGTAGTCCTCGACTTATGACCGGTTGGGGGTCGCGGCATTAAAAAGGTTGAGAACCACTGCCTTAGAGTGATGGAAGGCTGAGTCAACCTTGAGCCCCATCAAGATCAAACACCAGGCTGTGGGCAGAGTTTGCCTGCAATGCTGCATTCTAACCACTGTGCCACTAGGGCTCCTACATCCTGAATTTCATTTCTAAGGCCCTATTTCTAGAAATCATTCCCCTGAATTCTAGGAACAACTCAGGAAAAAAATGATTTGATTTCCAAATGATTTCTGAATAATTAGAATAGTACAGAACAGTTCATCATCCTTATCACACCTTAATGGCAAGATCTTTTTAAAAGCCTTCAACTTTCCACATATGTATTTTATAATCTGAACCTTAATCTCTTACACACTGCCAGAGAGAGGTATACTCCAGTTTCCTTCTTTTAAATCTTGTCATTTTGTGGGACCTAGGAAGTGTACCTTTGCTGTAATTGCCTTATTCTTTGGAATAATTTCCTCTCCACCCAATGTATGACAGATTCCCCAACTCTTCAGAAATCTGTTAAGACTTGACTTTTCCCCATATGTTAAGGGCCATTTGAGTGATAGTCCTCTTTTGATTGTCTTGCTATCTGTTTGGCCACCATTTTATATTTTGTATTTATATGTTGTGCTTGTCTATTGTTGTATGATTTTTTTACAGTGTCATACAGTCATGTGATTGTGATTTGCAATCTTCCCAAGTGCCTTGTGACAAGCAAAGTTAATCGGAGAGTGAAATTCACTTTACGCCTAAGTGATTCACTTAATGATTTTCTGATTCCCTTAACAACCATGGTGATTCACTTAATGATTGCCATAAAAAGATCATAAAATTGGACCTAGCCACATCATGACTTGCTTAATAACTGCATTGCTTAGCAACCAAAATTCTGGTCCCTGTTATGGTTGAAGATTGCCTGTAAGCACCATGCAACAATGCTGTTGAACAAATGTAGATTTCCAGTGCTAACATATCTTTGGTGATTTGCTAGGAAAAAGGCATTATCTTATTTTTGCCCAGCAACTAAGGCAGAGACTGGATTGGTTTGCACATTAGTTTTGTCAGTATGAATGTTATTCATATAAATCCATATGAGCACCATCTAGTGGGCAAAATATAACCATTAGGTGGAGTTTATTAATACTGTATTACTAGAGAAATACAAGGTGAAAGATTTATATGACCTGAGGAGAAATCAGAGTATAATTTTATTATTGTTGTTTCTTGTACAGTCAGCCAAATATTTAGAATAAATTTGGCCTTTTTATCCACCTACTTACTCAAGAACCTGGGATAGGCAGATGTGAATGTTCGATGGTGTTAAAGATATTGTCTCAGGATAGAATCTGTTCCAAGTAAAGCTGCTTTTTGCAGTTGACTGATGGTGATTTTGTCAATGTCAATGATGTTCAAGTGATGCTCCAGATATTTTGGGTTTGCATTCAAGGTACCACCTTTGCTTTCTTTTGCCACAGTCATTCTGCTTCTATTTGCAGATCCAGTATGATTAAACCTCTGGCATAGCTCCCATTCTTCTCAAACAAGCCCCACAACCACATCCAAGTAGTGCCTCACTGGGAGATTAATATAATTGTGTGGTTCATTGCACAGTCAACCAGATG